TGCTGATGGCTTAGGGTTGGAACATGTAAGACGTGCCTTTTGTAGTCTAACTTCTCTACATCGTGGTTTCAACATGGTGGACACAATGTGTCCCAGTGCACCACTTGTCGTCTTCTTCTTTGTGTTTATGAATTAAAATGTCGTTAAAATCAAAGGAATGAGGCATTTTTATTTAGACTTTCACACATTATTCTTTCTGTTACTCTAACTCATTACAGAATACATGAAATGACTCAGAGTGGAGATAAAGTCACTTACTGCATCAAAAAAGCAGAAAAAAGACGAGTTACAGCTAAAAGTTTCTGCCTATTTTCTTTTCTTCATCGACAGCACAGGTGACCTCCGCTGAAATAACTGATTGAATTTACAGCACAAAGAGCATTTCTGCCTCTGCTGATGAGAGTCAGTGTGGCTCACTCTTGTTATGAGGTTTAGGTAAAGACTAACCCGTGTAGATGAGGTGGAAGTGGTAATGGCAGTAGTGACTGTGGTGGCTGGGCTGCCAGTGAAGGTGCTGTAATCGGAGCCACCTGTGTAGTTTGACGCTTCACTCATGGTACTCATAGGACGCTCCTTCTTGTCACTGCTGCTTCCCTGTTCCGACGAAGACTTGGGAGCCGATCTGCCACAAGGCGAAACACAGAGAGACACAGACGAGGGATTCAGACATTTCACTTTAGAAGAATGTACAATAGAGGGAGTGTCGTGACCCCTACCTACACTTACTATATTTTCAATTCAATTTTATTTGTACAGCGCCAAATGACAACAGTCGTCTCAAGGCGCTATGAAACCCCTGTGACCACTGTTGCAGGTACTGAGCCTTTGAACTATGCTCTACCAGCATGCCGGCCTGGTTACAAAGTATCTGCTGACAAGGTCTCCTACCACATCTGGGTACAGGAGAGGTCCCAGAAGAGGTATTAAGCCAGATTTTAGACATGCAAACCTACTTAAAGTAGGCCAAGTTATTGCAGAAGCAGCTATTTTAACAAGTTTGCTCCATTCCTAAATTTCATTTCAGCCCAGTTATCCTGACTTTTTATTGTTAATCTCTAGTTTTGTTCCTTGGAGTGGAGAAAGTATCTTCTTTATCACAACTGTCGATGTCCCATTTCTGATACATAGCTAGTTTTTGGCAGGTAGAGGAGAAGGAGACAAAACATTCAAAGGTATTTTTGTGCTTGTGAAGCATAGCTGCCGAAAACAAACTACACAAAACAGCAGACACACAGAGAGAGGAGGCAAAGGGAAAGGAATAAGAAATGTAGAGTTAAGTGACATGTAACAGAGGATAGTAGTGAAAAAGGACAGACAAATATAGAAATCAGTGATTCACACTGACAACTCCTTATCCCCAACACTATAAAAATCTAAGCCACATAAGAATGGTTGATGACCTTTCCCAGCTAGAAATCACGTTTCCTGCCGATTACAGACAGTTAAGTTTTATTCAAATGAAGTGTGAAGTACTTAGAATACTAGAAGGAATTGTTAGTTAGTTAATTGTTGTTAGTTTAATAGATTCTTAGGTGCAAGTGGTCTTTTCAAGTTGATGAGAGCTTAAGATGACACAAACGTTGCCCGTCAGAAACAATCAGTCTCCACAGGTTGAAGCCAGCCAATCAACTAACAGCACATTTCACCGAGCAGATCCCATCTTCACTCTCTTAATAACACGCTTACTTTGTTGGCACAATTAAACAGAGGAGGAGAACGAAGGAGAGGACGAGTGGCTTGAACGAACACAAGAGGAGAGGGAAGAGAAGTGATGGAAGCAGAGATAAAGAAGACTGGAGTGTGTGCGTGGGTGTGTTCAACTCACCTCTGTTATTTGCCTCCACATCCACCCAATTTAAACGGCCAACTTAGCCTGTCAAATTGAACCAGCTCAAAGTTTTTTGCTGCAGAACGGTGGAGAGAGTTACTGAGAGGAAAAGAAAGCTCAAGGTCTCCGAGTGCCAAGGTCAACAGAGCATAATAATAATAATAATGGATTGCATTTATATAGCGCTTTTCGAGACTCTCAAAGCGCTTTACAATGCCACTATTCATTCACTCTCACATTCACACACTGGTGGAGGCAGCTGGGGTTGTAGCCACAGCTGCCCTGGGGCAGACTGACAGAAGCCAGGCTGCCGTATCACGCCATCGGCCCCTCTGGCCAACACCAGTAGGCAGTAGGTGAAGTGTCTTGTCCAAGGACACAACGACTGAGACTGTCCGAGCCGGGGCTCGAACCGGCGACCTTCTGATTACAAGACGAACACCCAACTCTTGAGCCACGATCGCTCTAAGCAAAGCACATCAATTAAACTCTGTTTTCACACATGAGAACAAAGGAAGTCTCCGTGATTCCAGTTGGTATTCTTGCAGATCTGTGTTCTGTGGATTTCTACTGTTGATGCCACACACCACACAGTTTCTACTGGGTCCTGCTCAGTGAGTAGTGCTAGAACACTGCCAGACCCTTAAATAATGCTTAAGTCTCTGAAGACATAACTTTAGGGGTTTAAGCTCTATCCCTCAACACACAACACATCCTTTGCCATCTTTATCTCTCCAGAAAGCAACATTTACTGTCTCATACAAGTCTAACTCATCTTTTTAACTGTTTATATCACCTCCTTATCTATCTATTCTTAAAGGAAATACTGCTCATCAGGTACAGTCTGTATCATTTACCATGCAAGTACTGTACTTTTGTCTTGATGCATGCTCAATCATCCAGGTAAGGAAGGGGAGAAACGTTTCCTCATCATCAGGTGACGTCTTCAGTCTCAGCTGACTGCAGGTTTCCAACCTTATAAACAGGACATTTGCACAATGACTGAAACCAGCAGCACTGAAGGAACACTGGGCTGGGAGCTCAGTTTATGATCATTAATATGCAAATTGTCATGACTGTTGATTAATGGCCACGAGTCCCATTCTCAGAGATTTTGGAAATGACTGAATTCAGAGCACTGTAAGATGGTGAGGATGTGGACATGTGGGTGAAAATGTTGTGTACTCACTCAAGCAGAGAAAAACATCCCTGCAAAAGGGTTGAGCTTTGCAGTGACGCCGAGACAAATCCCGCAAGTGTAACCGATCACAGCCACAGAAACAGCAATTCGAAACAACAACATTGCAGATGTGGAAGCAGAGCAGCTACAGACGGAAGTTTCAGCCTGTCTCAGCAATGCAAAGCCCCCAGCATCCAACATCAGCTTGGAGTAATGACAACAACATCATCCTCCTTCCAGCAGACGAGGGCAGGTGCACAGTTTTAACCAGAAATACTATCACGAGAATACTTCTGAGCCGAGACCCAGGAAGTGGTTACAGGAAGTGGGTGATAGACTGTCTGAAGCAGTTAGAACAGGACAAGGCTGTTAACCGGACCTCATACCACAGGCTGTACCCAGGAGAGTCTACACCAAGTCTGTATGGTTTACCGAAAATACATAAACAGGGAGCACCTTTAAGACCGATCGTCTGCATGATCAACTCTGTCACCTGTAACATCTCCAAGTTTCTGGCTTCGATCCTCAACCCGCTGGTGGGCAGCTCTGAACACCACATCCAGAACACAACAGATTACAGGATGACCCCAACCTCAGCAGCAGGACCGCTCTCAGCATCAACCAAGTGTGTTTGAACTGTGTCTCATTCCACCTACTTCACATACAAGGGTCAGTTCTACAGACAGAAACATGGGTGTGCCATGGGCTCCCCAGTTTCAGTTTCAGTTTCGTGGCCAATTTGTACATGGAAGAAGTGGAAAAGAGGGCTTTGCTAAACACCCTGGAACACCACCAAGCCATTGGTTCAGGAATGTGGATGACACCTGGCTGAAAATCAAATCTCAGGACGTACCACATTTCATTAACTCGGTGGACCAACACATCAAATTCACCAGGGAGGATATGAAACGTGGCAGGTTAGCCTTCTTAGACTGTGACTTCAGCCATTCCCCAACTGTGAATGGTACTCGTGGTCATTTATCAATCGTCATGACAGTTTGCAAATTACTGATCATAAAAGTGACCTCACAGCCCATTGTTAATCAGTGCTGCCATTTCAGTATGTACGTAAACCTGCAGTCAGCTGTGTGATGAGTGTTCAAAGTCTGACCTGAGTCAGATAATTATCCACACATGATAGCTACTTTGGTTTGTGGCTCATAATCAGCATCAGGAGTTATTTTTTGCACTGCGACACAGCTGAATAACTTATCACTAGACTGTTGTGATGTTTCAAAATCATATCAGTGTTTTGATTTGCTTAAAAGATAATTTAAGGAGAACCAGTGAAAACATTTTTCTTGCTTTTTGGCAAATACTATATTTACATTTACATACATTATAAATTTCTTTTACACAGCATAATATTATGATGTATAGCAAATTATTGTAATTATCATTAGAATGTGATTTCTCATCTATAAACTGTTGCTGAAATGAGTACCAGAAAAAGTCTCAATGTGCCCAAATAGTGTTCATCAGCTCAGTGAGGGATCACGGCCTGTGCTCGAAGCATGCCACTGCAATACTTTGTTGATATGTTGAGATTTATAAGCAATGGCTTAACTTTTAATAAAAAGACCCAGCAAATTAGGTATCTGGAATCAATTACTAATGCATTTGTGTTGGAAAAAGAAAAAACAATGCAATTAAGTCTGTTATGGCCTCTTCTCATAACGATGGAATTGAATTGATATGATCAAGGCAACAGTTCAAACCTGAACAGAACTTAAAACAGAAGCAACAGTAATGAAACCCTACAGGGTGCATGTGTCAGCCAAGCAAAGTCATTATGAAACCATTAAAAAGTTTCCCAGGCTTCCAACTACGAGGTGTCTCAGCAGTCGACACATACAATCAACCCATCCGTGCACAGCTGAAAACAACCTGCTCGACCAAATTTACACAGATAGTCAAGAACTCTTTTTGTACCAAAGGCAGGGCTGTGACATTACTGCTTGAGTATAATATTAAACTGCTTGGTGGAAGCTTACAAGAAGCTCATCTGGGGGCAGGTTATAATACTCCAAACCTGACTAGCACTCAGAGGTTTAGGCAAAGAGGTGATACGTGGACGAGCCAACACAGGATGAATTTGCAAGAATTTTCAGGAGGATGAAGCTCCTTAATCTGAAGCTCTTCTATCCTTTTTTAACATGGTAGTTACCAAACAAACAAAAACCAGACATAATGTACTAAATGCACTATTTCAGTAGAAAACTGCACCACGTATAACAGGCAGGTAACAGGTTCACTATATCACAAACTGAGTTTCCTCAACTTCAGCAACAAGAGCGTGTGCGTTTCCACAGACTCACAATCCACACAATCACTGAAAGCAAGTAAGAGTTTTACAATGTATTAAATATACTCAACAAAAATATAAACGCAACACCTTTGTTACTGCTCCCATTCCCCATGGGATGGACGTAGAGACCTAAAATTCATTCCAGATACACAATAT